CACCCAATGAGGGCTGAATCACTACCGTCTCTTTTCACTGTGAAGTGGTTATCAAAACATATAAAAATTATGAGCAAAGAAATTTAGAAGAAAATTCTGAGCAAAAGATAGTTCAAAAGCTAGATCACTGTATTAAATGCTAAAAGTATATGAACAATGACATTAGTATTGCTAAAAAAACGCACTTCTGCAAGTGTCCTTAATCTTTTGCGAGCATCTAATAATTGCTTCTTCTGCTGTTCTTTTTTCTTTTTCTCTAAACCACGCTTTCTTTTTTCTTCAGCCTGTTTCTCTTCCTCCTGTTTCCGTTTCGCTTGCTCCAGCTCCTAAATCATTTCCCCTTTTACAAAAAAGACCTAAATAAGCAGTAAAAAAAATCATTTAAGTTAATAATCATCTTTCTTGCTTGAGATTTCAAACATATATGGTAGCAATTTGTAAAACTGAGCAGTACCTCTTTAGCCTTTGCTTCTTTAGCACGTTTCTCCTCTAAAAGCCGTTGTCGCTGAATACGTTCCTCTTCTTTCTTTTTCTTATCCTCCTCTTTAAACGCAGCGATACGTGGATCGGCTTTATAAGCCATCTCAACAAGACCACGAATCCTTTTCAACTCAGCTTTTCGCCTCCTCTCCCGTTCAACCTAAGAGAAAAACGGAAAATTTCCAAGCATAAAACCTCGCTTTTCTTCGCCTTTAACGGTAGAGCTACTAATTATTCAACATTCTGTAAACTCTTAATTTCGTAATACTAAATATTAGGATTTTCAGCAGCCCTCTAACCTTATTTGTTTTCTCTATTTCACGTCGTTCCCATCTGTCCTCACCTTTCTCCTTGTCCTCCTCATCTAGGTATGAAAACTCTCGCCAGGAATCCCACGAAAACCAGAAAGAATAAAAGCTGTCAACCTCTTCACGTGTGCTCTTTTCACTGCCTAGTAAAGGAACTGGCTGTTTTATAGACCACCTAAACCAAAAAACTGCAAGAATTCAAAAAACAGCGAGAAAGTTCGCCTCACTGGAACTTAAAACAGACACTAACAAACAGAAGAAACTGTTTAAAAGCTGGATACCCACCGAGCGTTATTTTCAAAAATCGGGCCTAATATCTCGTAAAAATTTGAGGCTTTTATACGTTTATCATTTGGTATTGAATCATCAAATTGTGGGTCCACAGAATCATAAGCTCGACGCTTCTTTTCGCAAATACCAAGCTGTTCATACGCTTTAGTTATACAGGCAAAATATTCTTGAGAGTGAGCATCCAAGGCAGATTTTGTAACTTTGCTCTTGTCCGGGTGGTGAGTTAGCACTTTCTGACGATCTTTAAAGCACTACATTAATACCACTTTACACCAAAGAGATGCGTTGTTGAAAATTCGAAAACTGTCTAAACGCAGATTGAAAATTACACGCAACACGAATTTGAGAAGCAGTTGCACGCCATCGAAGTTTCGAAATCCCTAAAACTCTGTAATGGTCCTGATTTTTCCAGTCATTAGGGTCCAAGTGTTTCAGATACGCTAAATACTCCTCGTCGTCACTATCCATGAAAGTCTTTGCTTCCTTAAAAAAATTTATACTCAGTAAAAAATAAGTTTACCTGGACAAAGCCGTCTTCTCTTCATAACTTTTCGAACAACAAAACTTAGAATAAACCAGCATCAAAAGAAGCAGCTATACAATCCAGTGTTGTAAAAGACGCACCGCTATGCAGTCGTCGTTTTCCTCGACGGCAGGCAATGAGGACAAGTCCAAATCAACC